CACCTAGAATTTATTATTATCGACTAGCTAGCTGAATGTACTGCGTTTGATTCCGTTTTGAAATGATGTTTGATTGAAGTTCGATTGAATCTCCTCATCGAAAATATTTACGATCCATTTATCCCGATCACGATAGACTCCTGGTATCCGTCGTGCCATCCGCCGTGCCAAGATTCTCCCTTTGGCATCCTCACAAAAGCCTAGACCTCTCGAACCTCCAGCTTGACGTCCTCCCGAGTCGTGGTTCTCGCGAGCTTTCAAAATAACCTTCATCAAACGTTTCTGCTTCGATCGCAGCTCAGCCTCTCGCAACCTTTCAAAATAACCGAACGTTCGTCGTATCTAGACCCTCTCGAGAGTCCTCGTACTCGCGTGAAGTAATTTAACGCCTATTAATCACATCCCTACGAAAACCACTCGTTCTTTATCTTGTCCATGATCCGATTGCATCGCCCGACGTCGTTCCTGCGACGGATACCTCGTATTCCACCCATTATCTCCTCTCCTCTTCGACTTTCGTCGCGTTTTTCACCATCGAGCGTAAGCTCCGTCCACCCCCCTCCGTTAGTCGTTTGGCTCGTCGTCACCTGGACGCGCAGGTAGTTGATTAGATGCTACTTGCTCGGACCAGGTGCCAGTCGAGCGTTTTGTTCGCCGCAGCCTTGAGATCCCAGGGAACTCGAACGATCTTCCAAAGATTGTTCAGCCTTTGGTCGACTCGCGTTCACCTCGATGGGACCTCGAGCGGCATCGACGAGACTCTTAAAGCAAGGTCGATGCCGTCAGGACATCCGGGACGACTGGCTTCGGAGGGGGGTCCAAGCATCACACTCTCATCTCGCTCATTGCTGCCTGGGACACGCGACTCGACACTGTGGCGCTCTGCAGTAAGGGCTGGTTTTCTGGTGGACTCTTTGCTCGAGGGGGTGGTGGTGCTCTCGGTACTGTCAGGTGTATAGATCCGTTTGGTGGACCCTGAAAATTCGAGTTCGTTAGCAGGGCAAGGTTTCTCGATGGCCAGAGTTGGGGGTGAGTTTTCTTTCTCGACCCTCCATTGCAGGAATTTTTATTTTGTTAGAGGGGCATGGTGTGATTTTATGGTATGAAATTCAGGAGTTTCTTAGTTGACTTGAGAGGCATTTTTAATTGAATCATGCAATGGAGGGCGGAGGTTAAAAGGACTCGAGAGCAGTGGTTGAAGTTTCAGGGAGAAACCTGTGTCCTTGTTCATCGGGACATTGCTTTATTAGTACATATTTATAATGGAAAATTGATCTGGAAACGTGAAGCCTATCATTTAAATTAGGCAAATTTCTTCAATATATAAAGAGAGTACGAATACTTACGGGACTAACCGTATATTACATTTTCGATTGAAGCTTTTGCTTTTCCACAAGGACATAGCTTGCACCCAAGAAGCCTCGAACAGGATCGACTATCAGATTGGGTTGTGAATCTCAACGAAATGATACTCAAAGGACTACTATTTTCACAAGATTATTTAAATAATTACCGATTATTTTGCAGCGTGTGATGCACTGTGATTTTAAAGCGTTCTAGAATGCGTTCTGGAATTTTATGAATCGCAATAGAAGTCTTATCATTCCTTTGTTACTTTATGGGAACTTCCAGCGAACTATGGATAGAAAGTGGAGCCGGTCCGAAAAGAGGCACTCGACGTAGGTATCGATTATTGTCAAGAAGTTTTCTCGCTACCAAATGAAGCGTCGAATGCTTTCCTTCCGACAATTCGCCACTCGACTCTCTTAAGCTCCCCGGTAACGAATTTCTTGTCAATAAAGAGATTTCTCTTCGTTTGGAGTTCCGACTGTTTGATCAACTCGAAATGAAATCTAGTTACGGCAACTTTGAACAATGCGTCGCCGTTAATTAAGGATTTTTATCGGAATTCCAAGGAAGACTAAGATCGAATGGAAATTAAGGGAAGTTAAGCGCGATAGTTGCATACATCGAAGGCTATTGTGATCAAAAATAAAAATTTGAAACCGGATACGTGGCCTGTAGGAAATGGTTCAACAAAAGGAGTCGAAGGACATGGGTGCAGAACATTGATTAAGTTAAGACTTGAATACTTTTGGGGGCAAATAAAATGAAAGAAAGAGCTCGAAAGCAAATGTCTGAAGCTTTAAGAATAACTCAGTAGAACAGTCAAACTAAATAATATGTTAATAAATCCTCGATGGAAATCGAGATGTTTTAGTTAAAATGAAACTGGACATCAGAAGTGACGAAATTAACAGCCATTAAAGTTTCGCTTAACGGAGCTCACCCTGGTCACGAGCTAAATTTAGTAACGAGATAAAAGGTGATACTGTTCGTAGGTAGAATAATGACCGCCGAAGAATGTCAGAAGCTTTGCAGTGTAAATTTCATCGGGTCGGCTCGGAAGTTTAAAAGTTCCTTAATAAGATTATGAATTAAACTTTCGAACGCGCTTGGGTCGTTAACCAAACTTTTTCAAATCAACGACGAACGTAAAATTTTCAGCCCCCTCCCCTCTGCAAATAAACTTCATGTTTATGGACAATAAGAGTCGCGAGAGCAGAGCGTTATTTTTTAAGGCTTCCCCGTTTCGACGAATGAAAAGTACCGTTCGTGATGTTTTGATTACGTTTAACGAATGAGTACTAATCAGAACTCGTCGCCCGTTAAAGATTTAACCCTCGACGGTCCAAGTGTTTCATAAAATGAATCATGAAACGCTTTCATCTACTGCAACCCGAAGCTTAGTTCCATCTAACGAGTTTCGATAGGTGCAATTGGCCAGAAATGAAAAAATAACGCACCCCCGATGTAGTTAACATTCTTCAGGGAAATTAAGAGAGCGAGAAAAATTGCTGATGCTAATAAGGAAACTCGATATCTGGGAAGATTAAAGGAGCAAGCCGGGAAGGAAGCAAAAGTAGCAAAGGAAGCAAGGCGCGCCATTATCGACACAAAAGAAGGTGGGAAAATCTGGTAACAAAAGCAGGGGTGGATTAACGGTTTCGAGTAACGCGTTAAACGGCGTAGTTATCTTTGCATGATGGGACCCTTATCTCCGTGAGAGTTTGAACGTAACGTTTGAAGTAAAACGATCGGCTCTCACTTGGGTTTGCGCGTTCATGTCCTGTATGACGGAAGCTCGGGGAAGAGTGGCATGCTGTTGCTGATGTTGCTTTTGATAGTGATGTTGATGAGGCAACGTGTGAGTTCCCTGGCCCTGTTGGAGAAGCGTGTTGGGATCGTTCGGAGGGCCTTTCATAACGTTCCTGTAACGACGATCGATCTTTACGAGCTCCGTAACGGTCAGGGACGAGACGCAATCGTCGAGCATGTTGGTAAATAAAATTGAAAGTCGTGCAGTGGGTTACAATGAGGGAAAAGGTGGCCATCGACGGGACAGATGCGATTATACCGAGATAAATGGCATGTAGCTTGGGCGAGTGACGTGAATAGTATATTTACAAACTAACGATAACGATGTTACGATGATCTCGAACGTATTCGAGAAAGGGAGAGAGTACAGCAAAGTGTCTAACGCGATTACTAGCGTAGCTTTCGTCTTTTATAAGCCGTTTGCGTTATTCACAGATGAAGGGGGTGGGGGGGATGGCAGAGAGCCACTAACGAACGGGGGATGTACGATAAAAAAAAAGTGTCAAGATGACTACGGAATATAAATAGATATGCGACCACCTTTTCGTTGACGTGCTCCACTGCGCGCTCATTAATAAGTCACGCTGCTCCTTTGCTAGGATTAATTCACACAGGTGCAGTACCTTCTTAACATCTCGTTTTCAACGTCGACGATCACCTGACCGCCACCGGGGAAGTGGGAATGAGGCGGTGGCGGCTGTTTGAGCTCGGTGAAGCCACGCGGTCCGCACTGTTGATTCAACATCTGTTGCTGCTGAAGGCTCTTCACTTCGAGCCGCGTCTTGTCCCTCTGATAGTAGACGCCCGCGAAAATGAGAACGTTGAGGATCAACAAGCTGCACCCGATGGCGATCGTGACGCTCAGGGCCGTCGAGTACGCGGCGTACCTGTTCGACAAGGAAAAATCAACTTTTCAATAGGCTGACGATAGAATCATTTTTACGATGAATACTCTGGAGGTGGTCGAGAAAAATTGGCGACACGGGAAGAGAGCACAGGGACGGTAGAATATTATTTATGCGGAGATAACTAGATAGTTTACGTAATTGGACTTCATGAAGACCCATAAGGGATGCGTGAGTCGATAAATGGATTTCGAATATATCAAGTTCGAATAAATGGACTTTTACAGTATGTGTATATTACGACGATTGCAGCTTTTATCAGTTTAGATTTAAATAAGACTTCCATAAGAGAAGCCTTAGGCGTAGAGTCCACGAGAAGGGTCCACACGCTTTATGGTCGCAGACATATTAATAATGGAGACAGCCAAGTGTTTCCGTTTCCCGAGGACTCCACAGTCTCTCCACCATTGTCTCTGTTGACTCTGGCAAATTTAGCTGCAATTACGGCAAAGGGACAAGCGTTCTTGAGTTTAAACGCTCACGCCAAGGAGGATACCGTTCGTTAACGTCTTCATTACTTATAGCGTAGCTACTGAAACTGCTTATTACGCACCCAGCTGCGTCCAAACTGGCCAGGGTATCTGTGCTGGCATTGTGAACGTTCTGGAGGTTCGTGCTCTGGATGTAACTGACACACGTGGCGGCGTTATAATCGGTGGTGGTCGTTGGCTCGGTGGTAATGTTTTTCCTTTTGAATTCCTCGCTGATCCTGCTCAGAGGGTCTGGCCTTACTAAACCGTCGTAAAGGCCAGGATCAGAGTGACCTCGGAATAGATTGTGCCTGGAGTCCACTTCCTCCATCCCTGCTCGATGAAGCTCTGGGACGAGACGTAGCCACACGGAAAGTTGATGAGCTCGATAATGACTCTTCGACCTTAGTTTGAGACCTGGAACAGAGAGATCGTAGGCTTCAGAAGTCGAGCTCGGTGTAAGTTGCTATGTAACTCGGGTGAAATGAATTTTTCGCTCGTAATAATTCCAATTTTTATTTTAGTCCCGTTTTAAACAAAGAAAGTTTTTTTTTTGGAGGGTGGTGGGGGGAGGGGCGTTCTCTCATTAAACAGTTTTAAAATGCATTTCGTGTATAATGCCATTAACGGCGGGCAAACCGGGCATTATGATACTTCGTAAAGTACGCTTCATTAAAAAAGTTCCGGAATCGTCTTCGGAATTTTCCGCGTTGCTTGGTCGCTGTACATTATCGAGTTATAAAATTCTCAACGTGTAATGAAGAATTTATGATGCCGCTACACCGTTTCATTGCAACCAGAATTATTCGCGTTACTCTTAAAGTAGGGAACGAAATGAAACTGTATTCAGAGAAAAAATTTCAGTTCCCTGGTGAAAGGAGAAACTGCGAGACGTTATAATTTCGCTGCGATAAAAAGGTAATTACTTCAACCGGGTGCGCCTGAGTTGAGGAACATGAAATGTATTCTTTTTGCTGAGGCAAATGAGGTGTACTGTTCCGTTTCCTACTTATGCTTTACTTCGCTTTTCAGCGAACCAAGAATTAGCTAATTTCGAAACGAATCTGTTTCCAGTTTGCATTGGAAAACGAATGTACTGGCGTTTCTGAAAATTTGGGAGGATGTGAGCTTTGGAAGAGTTTTAGATTCCTGGAACCGTTGGTCCATTGGGCTTTGGGTAACTAGAAGCTTGCATCTCTAAGACCTTAGAATTTTAGATTTTTAGAACTTTGAAACTCTATGTCCTGATGTTTTTTAGAATCCTGAGACTCTGATACTCCAGAACAGTAGGATTCCAAAACCTCAGGATCTCAAGATTTCAAGACCTCGATACTCAAAAACCCCAAAATCTCAAGATCCCAAGGCCTCGAAGCTCCAAGATCCAAGGTACCAATACAATTTTGGAAAATTCAGCATCATCTAAACATTCAGACCAAACCAGATTCCCGTCGAACACAGCAAAATTTACTCAGATACATGCAAATCATTCGAAAAGCACCACTGCCATTGGCGCTGCATTAATTACGTCGAATTTTTCGTCGAAAACACAATCTGGAGCGGTCAGTTAATTAAAGCTGATAGCTGATGAATTTGTCATCTCTGAAAACGAGAAAACGAGCGTCGGGAACGTGCGAACGCGTGCATGTAACTGGAACGATGAAATTAATGAAAATAATTGCTCCAAGCGATATTCGGGATAGTTTGCCGGTAAACGCGCATTGTCCTGGATGCTAAGAATTAACTGCGAGGCTAACCGCGGGAAACAGAGGCATTCCGTAGTCGAATGCGTTTCATTTTACTGTTTTGGCCATTTGCAGCAACTGCGAATCTGAGGACCGAAAGAACAAGAACGGTAATTTCAACTGATTTCACGATCTCATTCAATGAATGCTTTCATCCTAACATTTTGGTAATTTACAGTAGTCGCGAGTTCGAGAATTGAAAGAACGGAAGCTGAAATCCGAGAATCCTTACACCCGTGCTCTCTTCCGCAGTCGAACATGAAGTCGAAGATGGCACCTTGTTCGATACAACACACAAACCTTAGTAGCAAGGACTACCAAGATTAAAAACCAGAAATTAACGCACTAACTATTTTTCCAACAACCAACGACCACGTTCCCCAAGAAAACATAAAAATATCATCTGGAACAAAAGGTGGCGCAACTTATGGGAGGACGCGATGCATGCAGGAAATTCTGATCGATGTCGCGTCTCTATCATCCGTGGTGCGTCAAGACGGGAACATTCTCGAGACATTTAGAATGGAAACATTTCCGGGTGTAACACAACGACGTGGACTTGAGCGCAGAATGCGCGGGAGAGCGATTTCCGGCGTGGATCTCCTGTATCGAGCTCGTGAATCATTTCGAAACACGACATTTGATTTGATGGAGCGTGGCCGTTGTGAGGGGACAGAAGGATAGGGGGTAGAACAGGCCTAGTCAGGCCCGGAAGCACTTGAATCATTAAGTTTAATCGGGCTTGGCCGTCGTGGTGGGTACGGTAGTGTTGTGTTTTGGTTTTGGAAGAAATAGAGATTAATTCACGGCCTTCGGGGCACTCGAAGGCAGAGGGGAAATGTCAACAGCGATCATTCGACCTACAACGATCATGTCGCTACAAACATCGGGTAGAGGTATTGTACAATCTACTTTTAATGTTAAAGTTAGTGTTATTACATTTGTACCTACTTCTACCACGATCGATCAAGTGGTTGGTCTTGAAGATTATATTTTTAATTGAATGGATAAATATTAAGTAGAATAATATATCAAACAATCGTGTATAATTTATGAATTCTCTATCAGAACTGTAAATACATGACTGTATAGTACAGGAAAAAATTGTAAATAATTTATGAATTTTCCATAAGACCTGTACATGAGTTTTAAACTGGATCTTTGATCTATCGTGGTATATTTAGTGTTAATGGAGTTTCTGAGGTTGAATCCTCTCTCTATTTTTGTTCGTTTTCTTACGTCTATCCCGCGAACGCAATCGTACTCGCGGCAACGCGATTCCGTAGCGACTTTTGCTCGTCAAACGTTTACCCGATCAGCGGAAGAACATATTTGAGTTGCCCGTACGCCCTAATTAAACGGGAAAGTGCATTATAAAATCCAAGCGGGCGAGCGTAATTCAACGGGAGATTTATCGGGGTATAAAGCGTTTTCTCCCCCGCTTTCGAACAATTAGTGCTTGGGAGAATTAAACGCAATACATAATTGAAATAATTTCCCCGTTTTATTTGATCGCGAATCGAATTAACTCGCGTCGAACCCTGGCGACGTGCGCGCCGGTATCGTACGAATTATAATTTCCACGTTTTCAAGCGCACTTCCAAGGATTATCGTTTAAATTCTCGCGGATATTTACATTTCTCGATTGGATCACGTCCAGCGAAAAATTACAGTTATTAATTCCATCGTTCGATTCGCGAAAGTTGTACACGCATGCCATGGGGGAGGTGCGGGGAGTAGAGACAGGAAACGGACGCGAAAAATGATTTTGAAAGTCTACAACAAGGACATTAATTTTGTCAGGCTTCACATTAGGAATTTATATCGATTCGATTTGAAAATGAATCCTCTTATGTTCTTCTTCAACCAATAACCTAACGAAAGTTAAGTTCTAAAGCTGCGTGAATTTTGTACGCATTTTACGAGGTTTCCACGTGGTGGTGCTCCTTTGGCCCATCGTTTAGCGCCAGATACAGTTCGCTGTTCGAGAGTGATAACGACCGTCCACCTTTTTCAGTTGATTCCCGCGGACCGTTGCGCGACTGATGACCGATAAAATCCATTTTTGGCTGGCCATTTTACAGCTTTTCACCCTCCGTCGCGTGTATCGTTCGATTTGAAAGGGCAGCGCCGAATTGATTGCCCCCGGAGTACCGACGACCCGGTTGACGGGACCACGGTTCAGTGATTTCCGGTCGACGACTGATTCACGAAGAGATTTTATGCCCGCGATCGACTTTTCATGGACACTCCCACCCGATCTGTGGACCGCTCTTTTGTTCCCTCGACGTTATTTGCTCGTCACTCGAAACATGCTTCCCCATCCATAGCGTTCAAGGGAGGTTAGGGGAGGTCAGGGGAGAAATGAAGGAATTTTAGTGTTTCCTTTTCTTGACTCAATTATTTCTCAAATTATAAATTAAAAGAATTAATTGTAGCTTGACTTTGTCCACCAAGTTGAGACGAAGTTATCACTACCACAGTTGTTATTAATCGAGGTTTCCTGGTGTTTTCTTTGCGTCCTCTGTATCCAGTGTGTTTTTTGACTCTTGAAGAAGCTGGTTTCCCCCCCAAAAACACTCATTTGTCCCAAGTTCTTCGAATCGCAGAAGATGATTGCTAGAGGTGGCGTTTCGCTAGGAAATGTTCGTATCCGAAGCGTTCTAATTTTCTGGATAGATTTAATACGATTTATTGCAAATCGAAAGCGTGGGTGCACTTAAATATTGATGCATGCGGTGTCAGAATATTCCTGGTCGCGTTCCTATCGTTGTTCGCATGGAAGCTATCCGTTCTCACGTATGGATAGTCACGAGATCGAGCATGCTAGGTTCTTGGATGCTTGACAAGAGCTGAAGGGGTTGGAAATGCAACATTCCGCGCATGTCCTTGCTTAAATACAAAGTTGCTTCGTTCGGATCTTTTTTCCTAAAAATAATCACTCCACGAACTAAATGTTTTCGTCTCGACTCAATCGTTTCTCAGATCCAAGCTTTGAAATAAGCGCCGAGAAGTGGGCAATCATCCCTGCAGTGAATCGTAGCACATTTTCAGGATCATTTTTCTGTTCTTCTATTTCTTGTTTTCCTCGTTCTCCAGTTTCCGCGACTCGTCGAAGTTTGATCCGTCCGACTTCCTCTCGCGTGTTTTGGATTGTCTCCCCGAGACATCTTTCACGGCCCGGGACACACGGAACGTCGCGTTTCACGACATCCTCCAGACTTAACTGGAGATTCCCCCGACTTCTCTTTTTCGCGATATGCATGCAGGAAATCCTTTCTTGGAAACTACGCGAACAGATGTACATCCGAGACGTTGTAGCTCGTTGAAATTGTATTATTCAGAACGACGATTTGGCAATCTCCGAGGAGCATTCATCGACGTCTCGATTTTCTGTTTGGGATCGCCAAACGGAAAGTTAACCCGCGAACAAAAAAGTACAAACAAGTAGCAACGGAATTTTTAGTCGAATCTCGTCGAGCGTTAGTTCAAGGTTCCGACGACATGTTTATTATTTACTCTGTATTCGAGATGCCCGCAAAGAAGTATCTCTTAAACTTCGGTGCTGAACGATACACTCCAAGGAGAATGTCCCTCGTAAGACGAAAATATTGTCACCGTACGGTGTCCAAGAGTCTCAGAACCGTACAGCTTTCCTGGGAAACATTTTTCCCTAGTTCTGAGACTAAGGAAAAATACTTTAGATGATAAAGTTGCGCGAGACACGGCCGTGTATACGCGCGAACGCACACACACATACACACGGGAAAGTTAACGACTTATTCTTTTAAGACGCGCTAAAACTTCCAAAGGACGTCTTTCCTGTGCAGACGCCATATTCTCTCGACTTTTCGAGGGCCTTCCACGGGAATATCCAGGCTGCTCGCTGCCCGCCAGAGAATAAAACGAGAAAACCTATCGCAGTAGATAAGTCGTGGCATAAATGCCAACACATGTCTCATGGTATTTTCTTCTGCTTCTGTCGCGATCCGCTTCATCTCCTCGTTCTTTTTCCCCTTTGAGCCCCACCCCGTGGTTCGATTCTCGGGCTTTCATCCGTATTTCACGTGCCAGCTTCCCGTCTCTATCCCGAAAACCTCGCCCAACCCCTGTTCTTTCTTTTCCGCGCTTTTCCAACCCTCTCGTTCTGATAGTCTTTCGATCTCGCGCTCCGCTCGAGGAGGCTGCTTGATATGCAGCCTCGCGCCAGGGTTTCGGTGGGGGGAGGGAGGGCTGTATTCGATCGAGAAAGAGAGAAAAACCTGACCAACGAGAGCTCCTTCGGACACGACCTCTCGTGTACAATAAAAGCTCCTCTTTCAACGGACCGACCGGACTGCCGGCGAAAAAGCTGCTCCTTTCGCAAAGTGCAGACGAAGGGTGCACGTTCAGATACTCCCTTGTCACCGTCAACTTCGCCCTGGGAATTATAATTTTAGCCCTATTGTCGCTCGTCCTTCTTGTATGCTGATTTTTTTCGTGAAATTGTACTCGCGACGAAACAGGGTTGAATGTTGGAGGGGGTCTTTTTTTGTTTATTTTTTACCCAGTCGTGGGGTAATTAACCCCTCGCTGAGGGGATGTTTCATTTTTTGGAAGAGAATGGAGGTAACGATTCGAGAGCTATGGATGGATGTTTCATTTTTGGATTTACTGCACTCAACCCCACAAAATTCTCATCCAAAGCCTACGCAACCCTCTAAAATCGTCCTGTACGACTATCAATACGCGAGGCACGGGTGAAGAATCCTTCCTCGACTCGATTACCCAAGTCGAAACCGTTGTCCCGTTAATTCTCAACGTCTCTCAAGATATCCGATGAATTTTTAAGTCGCCCACGGACGGATGGTTCGTCGTCGCGTTTAATTCATGCGTCTTTATTAAATTCGAACGGACCAGGCAAGAACAGCCCCCTCTCTCTCTCGACTTTGTTAATTAAAACGAGATCGCGCGTTCTTCGCGGATATTACGTAACGCCGTCCGGAATAGGATTCACGGCAGGAAGCCGATCTGGTTGGACAGGGAACGTCGAGTCTCGGAAAGAATAAAATCCAGGTGGCGCGAGGTTCTACTCGACGAATACATTTCCGTTTTTTTCTGTCTCCCTCGCGGTGCAGAAGGAAACACGAGCAAACAACATTACGAAGTGTCGTCGTGATCCTCGAATCGGATTTTCATATTGATACGCGAACTTTCGTCAGGGATCTTTGGACCCTCGAGTCTCAGGATGCGAAACTCGCCTCGGTGCTTCTATTAGTTGGTTCTTTTCCGTTTTCTTTTTGTGAGTCTCTGCTGGGTCTGGCTTTGGAGACGAACATATTTATAATGAAATATTTATTTGAAAATATCAAACCTATAGTTTAATTTAGACAGATTTCTTTAATGGATATAGAAGGTACGAATATTTATGGGAATGGCTGTATTTCCCAAATGCTTGCGCAATATACATATTTATTTTTTCTTAGACAAATAATTTCCAAGTCCTCCAAGCCAATTTTCTTTAAGCAATCCAAAGCAATACCCCCTCAAATATTGACCAGACAGCAATTCATGTAAGCACCAGAAACGAAATTTGAAATCGTTCCAAATTGATTAACCTTATCGCCTCCGATTAAGCCAGAAGCAAACGGAGCAGCCAAGCGACGAAGTCCGTGAAAATTGACACAACGAGCTCATTCCTGGCGAGCCATTCGGCGTCGACCAATGGCAGTCTGGCTGGCAACGGGCACGGCTTCCGGGCAGAATTATTGTTGGAGTCGTCGCTATTAACGGAAACGCAGAATTGCGAAACCATAGAGGCGGAGGTCCGTGGAATCGTCGTCGAAAACCGTGAAAGCGGTTACACGACGGCGAACGATCGTCGACTCGCGAATCGCTTTCTCCTTTGTCCTCTGGATTCGCCTCGTTCTCCTCTGGTTCTCCCTCGAGCTTTTATCGTCGTGTTTTTCATAACCTTAAGCCCCCTGCACGGCCTCGATAATTGCGTGGCTGCT